CCACCCCCACCCCCAGATTAAGCCCCCCCACCCCACCCCCATATCCAGCCTCCACGGCCACCACCACCCCGCACCAGCAGCGCGGGCCAGGAAAGGTGAGGGGTGCTCCGCAGCCCTTCCCCGGGCCCTGCGCCTTGACCAGGAAAGGTGGGGGGGGGGCCCCTCTGCAACTTACCTTGTTTCTTCTTGTTCCTCGTGGCCTCGTGGCCTGGCAGGGGACGGGGCTTGCTCGGAAGGCAGCCAGAACACCGTTCCAGTGTGTTCCTGCACAAAAGTAGCCCTAACTGATAGAAATCTCCACTGCAGTACTGGGGTGATCTTGTTTGGCAGGAAGATCAGCTAACTGTTCTGGCTGAATGATGCCCCCGTCTGGCATATAACTGCTGAGTCAGTCTTTTTTTCTTACTGACCCTCAGCCCCTCTCAGTCTCTCCCCTTACTGGAAATAAATCCAGAGTGTGACACAACAAATGTGTTAGTTATTCTTGCCATTCTAGTGCTATGGTGATATTGTTGAAACCCTTTCCAACGGTACCTGCAAGACACAGCAAATGAGGGAAGTGAACAGCTGACAGAGCCTGTGCTGGGGTTGCTTGAATGTTGAGCAAAGGACCTGCAACAATCAACTTCCATGTCTTCCTTTCATTCCAGTGTTTATACCATGAATCCTGTTGGTATTGTATAGTTACAGCTGCTCTCACTTCAAACCTGATGTTAGTGTCACAGCAATGGAAGAATCCAGCCCCAGGGAGGTGTAACCTGAATGCAACAAAGAGAAAGACCAGAGGGAAAGGGGGCTGCATTGTAATCAATGCCACGTCCAATGCATCCTGTGTGAGATACAAACTTATGATTCTCTGATGACCAATGAAGGGATCCAGGAACAGGGTAAGTCCCAAGTCCCAAGTCATTGCCTCTTATTTCTGTGTCTAAGAGGCAGAAACCAGAACAGTGTTTTCTAGAATGAGTACTTTAACCAAGGGTAGTCCACAGGCTGAAAGCAGAGTCTGTTGGGCAGGTTGAACTTAGTATCTTAAGTCGTTTTACCCATGCTTTGGTTTTGCAGTCAAACACCCTAAGAAACCAGCTCTGTGTATGCATCTACGTGTGTGCACACACAAACACAGAGTGCAGAAGCAAAATGGCTTTGCCGTGCAGAATGTCTGTAAAGCAGCCAACGATGTGATTAGGCACACAAACTGTGGCTTTAGTAAGGCTTCGGGCAGTGAAAGGATGAGCAAGCCTTAGCTCCTCTGGCTCCCAGGTAGAGGTAGTTGGGAAAGAGAAAGGTTGGTTAAAGTCCCACACCCACCACCTCACCCCACCTCATTGGGGAGCCAGCACTGTTTGCTGAGGTTTGGAGTGAGCAGGGAACTGTTCATCTGGCCTTGAAATGGAGTGGTATAGGGGATGAAGGGAGTGTTCTTATCTTCCTTTCCCTATGCTATAGCTTCTTCTCCTAATGAACTCCCTTCCCCTGATTCTTTTAGCTTCAGTGTGCTCAGAGCCCCTTAGAAGTTTATTTCTGAAGAGGGAGAGGAGTATCAGGAATGTGTGCCTCATAGGCCGAATCTGCACTGGTATCTTCCGCTGCTTTGGCAACGCTCCCACTTCGTCTCAAAAAAGGATGTCTACATCTCTTTCGGATTCGTTCTCCTACTGTACCGTAACAATTTCTGCTGTCTGTGTTATTTTATTGCCCTATGGTTTCTGCTGTGATTGCGGCGTCTCACCAGCTCAACTGGACAAAGCACTCTAAGCAACATCTAGTGATGAAGACTTGATTCGACCAGATTGGAAGAATTTCTTGTACCACTTTGAAACAAGCATCACTCCAGCATAAAGAAAGACAGCGTCGAGACTGCTTTAAGAATGAAGATGCAGACATGACCATAGTGTTCATTTCCCATCCCTCGTATTATCCAACTTTAAGTGGTTTGGTGTGGAAGCAAATCAATTCCCCTTCAAATCTGTAGCAGCAGAAAAGAGCAAGAGTCCTTCTTTTGCCTTTTTTTGGTATTTTTGTATTTTTATGTACGTGTGTGTACGAGTGTGTATGTGCACCTGAAAGTCATGGCGTCCTCTGGTGACTGACCCCTACTGGGGGCCTGGAGGATATTCAGAGAGGTGGCTGAATGAAGCCTGTCCCCTGCCTCCCAACTGCAAGAGTCCATCTTGATCTACCTTCAAATCTGAATTGTGTATTTTACTATGTAAGCTGCTTCGAGTACCTGGTGTCAGAGGAAAACAGGCTAAAATATTTAAAGAAAGAAAAAATATATACAAATTAGCATTCTTGAGCTCACCTGTAGGCTTGGTGGTTCCTTTCTGGGTCCCAAACAACTTCTGGCTTGATTTTTTCTGAAAGATTCTGTAATAAAGCAATGATCAGTAACACCATTCTAGCTAAGATTTCTACATACAGTTCTTAAGACATACACAGTGAAGTCTGTAACAGAAAATCTGTAACCACAACAGTGACTTGGGTTTTATGCTTCTTAGCTGGCGTAGTGAAACTAATTCTTCCTGTACAAATTAGGGCTGAACCAAATTGGTGTTTGTGTATGAACTTTGTGAACAACTTTGCACTTTTCAAAACTACACCTTCTCAATTGTCACTCGTGCACAGGAGGGCTCAAAAGGTAGCAAAGGAGTTTGTACACACCAACACATCCTGCCAGTTGTGCTTCCCAGCCTGAGTTTCTGCCTCCCAAAAGCCTCACCCCAGTTCCAGTAACATTTGGGCAGTAGGAATCCGACTGGGTGATGGAAGTGCTCTCAGGAAAGCATTTCCACAGCCTTACCTGGCTGCTGTTCCAGCCAGCGTTTGAGACTGTAGTTAAGCAGAACTGCCAGATAGCTTTAAGAGCAGTGGTTCCTGGGAATTGAAGTCTTTAGTTAGACAACCCACCGCATCCGGCACACAGAGGCGGGAGGGTTCGAATTACAACTCTCTTCCTGTAGCCTTTGTTCTCTATAAGCGGCAAGGAGTGTGGACGACCATCCTTTTCACCATATGAGCCAGTGAAAGGAATTCAATCACAAAGATGTGAGTAAAGACCTCTTATAAATGCATGTAAAAAAAAACCTGAATAAAAGTGATTGATTCTACTTTGGCTGTGCGTTGAAACTGTCCAGAAGACGCTGTCGGCTCAGCGTTAGACGGAACAGTGAAAAGGAGCGGATGAAGTCCCCCCCCCCCCTGAGAAAGAGAGATGATGCATTTCCCCTCCAATATCCAGCCCTTAAAGGAAGAAAGCATCAAAGCTACCTCTAATGTGCATGAACAAAAGGTGGGAAAAGGACAACCCCTTTCCCCCATCTGTTTGGTCTCTCCAGCAAACTAACTGCATGTCTCTCCAGCCAAGCAAGTTTCTCTGTGTCTTCCCATCGTATAAGCAGGAAAGCTTAGAAAAACACGCCACTTCTCTGGCCTCTGGAATAGTTGCATTCCAAAGTATTCACATGCAAACAGCTCTACTGTGTTGCAAAGTTTCTCTAGGCTCACAGACACTTTGCCCCTCTCAGCTCAGCTTCTTTATCTGCCTGAAACGCTGAAATCAAACCCTCCTAACTGGAAAAGAGCTCTACATTGCAGAGTCCCACAGCAAAGGCGGGAACTAGCAATCAGCTTGACCATAACGGGGCTACTCAGTTTAAGCAGCAGTAATAAGGGAGCAAGAGAGTGAGTGACTGAGGAAGTGTCACAGGTAAACTAGCACAGAGAGCTCAAGCATCAACATCTAGTGGCCACGGCAGGCAAGTCGCTGCAGCCCTGGTGGCAGATTTGGGAACAGCAAGAAAGGCAATTTTTTTTGGTGTGTGAACCTATATGCCCAAGCAAGTGAAGTGACGTCACTGCAACGGTGTTGATGCAATAGCGCCACCAGTGGGTGGGATCCAGTATTGCAACCGAACACATTTTAAGAAATTCAACTTAAAACAAGTTATGGCAGATACTGACATGGCTGATTCCAAAACTGTCTTAAATGGCAGCACAGAAGACGGGAATGCATGCACATCAGGTCGCCGAGTAAAGAATCTAACCCCTGACATGCGGGAATTTTTGCTTATCCAGAAGACCGATTTGCACAGGAAGTTAGACAAGCTTTGGACCAAGACGCGGAAAGATATAGACGCTGCACCCAATACAACCAGTCTGACACATATGTGCGCACTGCGAAAGGCTCTTACAGCCCACTCCATAGAGTGGAAAGATTGCTTAAGACGTATTGTGGACATTCTGGATCGGCTGAATACAGCCGAAGCCCTGGCAGAAAAGGAGTGCATTCTGTCGGATGCCCTGGAAAAGGAAGAGATCTGCAACACCACTCTGGCAGACCTAAGGACACGTGTCGAGGAAGAGGAAGAGAGGCGCCTTCTCTTGGTCGAGAATGGGCATAGAGGCAAGGATGCTTCCACCCAAGAACACAAACCTGTGGCTTCCCAACAGTCCTGTGGGTCTGAAACCTCTCACAAAGCCCCACGGTCGGTGAGCTCAGCCAAATCGGGCCACTCAGACTCCTCTCACAAATCCCTGCGGCCGGGGAGTTCTGCCAAGTCCTGCCATTCTGACGTCTCCCACAATTCCCTATGGTCGGTGAGTTCTGCCAAGTCCCATCGTTCTGACGTTACCCAACAGTCCTGCAGGTCCGAGGCCTCTCATGGGTCCCTAAGCACTGTGACTTCTGCCAAATCTCGCCATTCAAGGATCTCTCACAAGTCCCAGGATACTGTGGTCTCCAATAGGTCCTCCCTCAAGTCTCGGCACACCGAAGTTTCATGCAAAACTTTATCTACCAGGCATGAGATTGAGGCCGCAATGTTAGCTGAAGCAAAGATCGATGCCATGTTGGCAGCGAAGGCAGCAGACCTTGCAAAAAGGGAAGAGGTTCTGAGGAGAGAAGTTCGCAAGCTGCAGGCAGAGAAGGAAGATAGGGAGTTGCAGATAAAATCGCTTCGCAAGGCATTTAAGGCCGAAGGACTGGCTGCACGGGCCAAGCTTCTACAAGATAGATACTGGGATCCGGAGCCGGATTTCAACCCAGCTGATCTCGGGGTAGTGCACCCGTCTCAACGAATACTGGACTATGTTCAGGAACAGAACATGTATGTTCGTCCGCTTGATGGCGTAGAGACCAAGGTACTCAACCCCACAGCACCAGAGTTCATGAGACCACAGATGACCCCTGTGTTTCCTCCAGCGCCAGCCCCAGTGCCTGCACAGGTGTCCATGCTTCCTCAAGTGCCTGGACCAGCTCCGACACAGGCATACATGGGTCCTGTACCGGCGCACTTCGGCAGCTACACGGCACCTTGGAACATCAGGAGGAACCTGGCTGATAGAGGCGTCCAGAAGTTCACGGATCGTCCAGAGAACTACTACCTTTGGAAGATGACCTTCTTGGAAGCAATTAGGGACATGAACCTACGTGCAGTTGAACAACTCACACTCTTGGCAGAGTGGCTGGGTCCAGAGTCCGCAAAACAAGCAAAGAACCTCCACTCCGCAAATATAAAGACTCCGGAAAGGGCCTTGACACGTGTTTGGGCGCGGCTCGACACCTGTTACGGATCCCCGACGGCTGTGGAGACTGCACTCAAGGAACAATTGAAGAGTTTCCCCCCGATAATGGCTGAGAACCCTGAGAAGCTATGGGATTTAGCTGATCTCCTTGAAAACCTGCAGGCAGCAAAAGAGGATCCAGCATTACCAGGACTCGCCAGTCTCGACGAATGCACGGTGCATTTGGAGATCCAGGAGAAGTTGCCACCTGCACTGCAGGACGAATGGAGCAAAGCAGTAGTCAGCTACAAGGTTGCATGTCAGGGTACGGCAGAACTGCCAGATAGCTTTAAGAGCAGTGGTTCCTGGGAATTGAAGTCTTTAGTTAGACAACCCACCGCATCCGGCACACAGAGGCGGGAGGGTTCGAATTACAACTCTCTTCCTGTAGCCTTTGTTCTCTATAAGCGGCAAGGAGTGTGGACGACCATCCTTTTCACCATATGAGCCAGTGAAAGGAATTCAATCACAAAGATGTGAGTAAAGACCTCTTATAAATGCATGTAAAAAAAAACCTGAATAAAAGTGATTGATTCTACTTTGGCTGTGCGTTGAAACTGTCCAGAAGACGCTGTCGGCTCAGCGTTAGACGGAACAGGTGCCTTTTTTTTTTTTTAATTGAAAATGTACACCATTGCTTAAAGAGCATAGGGTTCAACATTCCCCAGATATTTGTCAATGTAATGCATCATAAATGAAGTTACATTTGCAATCAATCCATTGGGTTGTTACTTACAGTGCAGCACTAACCAGACTTACCCCCTTCTAAGTCTATTGAAGTCAATGGGCTTAGAAAGATGTGACTTTACCTAGGATTGCACAGTTAGTGTTTGAGCTTCCATAATACATTATAATACATAATACACTGAGCTTCCATAATACATAATTCATTAGCTTCAATATGAATGTGAAGTCCCAGATTCTTTTGTACCAGTCTATTACAGGTGGAGGATTAATTTTTTCTGTGAAGAGATACAGATTTGAAGTGTAATAATCAAACCAATCATGGGTTCTAAATCTTCAAGCTAAATATTTCAAGATATCCCCCAAATTTACTCAAAGATCTCATAGTATTATTTCACATTGTTATACAACTTATTCACTGTTTTATGCATGGTTTGCTGTTGTTTATGTTTGTTGTTGTTCTGTATTTGAAAAATTAATTAAAAATATTTTTTTAAAGATCTCATAGTAAATTGTGTCCTGCCATATCTCTGATTGCAACCTGCATATTTTTTAAAAAAAACTGATAATACTGCTTTCTAAAACATAGAAAATCAGGCACACAGACATGCACCACAGACATTGACAATACCAACCAATGCTCCCTTTAAACTGTGGAGTCTTGTGAGCAAAAATTCTACCTTGTGAGCTACTGGCATTAAAGTTGTAAGCGAGCGATTTGGCTGCTGCATAAATTAGTTTGCTCTAGAGCCCTCCTTCCTGAGCTAAGACAAAAATGTGTGAGCTGGAGGCTAAAGAACTGTGAGCTAGCTCACACTAACTCAGTTTAGAGGGAACACTGATGCCAACACATATCTAATGCCGGATTATAAATAAATTCCAGTGGTGTATTAAATTATAAAAATTCTTGTTTGGATCAGATGATATAATTTGAGAAGATTTTAGGGAAGATCTATTCCCAATTATCTGTTGAGGTTTCCATTCCTAGATCTCTGTCCCATTTATGTTGAAAATTACCTACCATTTTTCCACAGGGGGGAAAACATATTTATCATACCAATCAGACCTTTTGTAACATGGTACAACCAAGATCAATGCAAATTCAGATTCATTCCTTATGGGATGTTATTTTCATCATGAATCCCGTCTACATTGGAAACACTGAAAGAGGAGTGGTGGCTGCCAAGAAATTAGACCTTTAGTCAATTTCTTGTTCTTTCATTAAATATAGGATTAAACATAGGCAAACCTTATATAAAAATCTAGGCCTGCAAATGGCCTGCAAATGGGTTGAAGAGATCAAAAGGGAAACATCTGGCTGCTGTCATTGGACAGTTGGCAAGTCACTTTGTGCCTTTGAATAACAGAGACAAACGGAGTCACACCATTTGTTCACCTCACTCTTTCTTTTGATGCTTTGATTTATACTACAACACCCACCAAGGGAAGACCATCTACAATTCACAAATATGTGAATTCCATTCAGTGAAATACAAAGAAGGGTTAGTGGTCACAACCAAATAGAGGGTATAGACATTGATCTAACAGATTGCTCATAACAATTAAACATAGTTTACAAAAAGAACATATTCAAGACCAACTCTTCTGTAATTCCATACATAGACAGTGTCCATAGACCTCCAAAAAGAAAGTAACTGCAGCAGAAGACTCCCACTGTGGAAAGAATAACAGCTGGATGCCTCTCCCAAGTATAAATCAAGCGTTTCAATTATCTTCAACAGCGAATGGAACAGAACGGAAGCATCCCTCAAACTCTGTTTCTCTTCTGAGCCATTTGTTGTCACAGGTTCATGTCAAAATAACTTCCGTAGTCTGGGTTTTGAATTGGCTAAAGGGCCCCAGCCTGTTCAAATCTTAGACTTTAAGAAGTTTAGCATTTCTGGTTTTTGTTGTTAGTTGATAGTTGCAGTGGAGCTGCCAGCTTCAGCTATCCAGAGGCAATGAGCTAACCCTGCCATGGGTCAGGCTGTTGCCTGGCACTCAAAATCCTCCTTGGCCGAAGAAACTTGAAATGCTGACCTACTTTAACCAAGAAGGATATCTGATAGCTATGAAGTTAGAACACTAACTATGTAGTTAGAACATATTGCTTTTTTGTGTTATTTCTCCTAGCTTTGTTCTTTTGAAATACTCTTGCACTCTTTAATAAAATACTTTGATTATCATTGGTTGTTCTGTACTTTAGGTGCTGCAATCTAATCCCAGTACCTTAGACTTAAAATGCCTACCTACTGGTTAATCATTAGTAGAAATTAATTCTGCAATTGGCCAACCTTGCAAGGTTGAATTTTTTGTTTAATCCCATAAAGGTTGGAAGCTTGTCACTTGGCTTCTGACTGTGCGGGTAGACTAAAGGGCTGGTGGCAGGCTACCCTACTGGTGTGTGTAGATACACACTCCAGGTTTGTTTTGTAATTTTTAGTACTGCCCCTCCCCATACCAAGGATCCCCTGGATTGGAGATTCTTGACAGTGGCATTGTTTTAAAAGTAGTCTCTTCTGTCTCATTGCCTACCTGACAACTTCACTGTTTTCATCATCGAAAGTGGGGGGGGGGGGGAGACCCTAACTGGAGATGCAGAATTTAGAGAACAGACATAAAACGAGAAAACATTTGGGAAGGAGGAAAGTTAGGGACTTTAAGGATCTCCTGTAATGCACTCCAAATCACTAAAGCACTCATTCTACAACAACCCTGGTGTCAAACTTGAAGAGGCTGAAGGAATGTTCACAGAAGCATCAATGTATATTTAGTTCCTCTGGGTTAATAATATGAGCAGGGAGTATAGCTCTTACCTCTCCATGGGGACACAAGCGACAGAAGATACTATCCCAAGGATCTGCAGCTCTTTCTGCCAAACACAGGAACTCAGTTAAATAACATTTATACCAAAGATCTATAACATCTCCTGCCTATGTAAATGGGGCCCAGTTCCTTCATTAACTAGGTCTGGAGTTTAAAATCTTGGAGAACTCTGAAAAGTAGAGAAAGAATTTTAATGGCCTGTAATTTTGGATTTCTCTCATCTCCTTTGGAAATTTGGCAGCGAGAATCCTTTTGGAGAAGACAACAGTTCTAGAGAATGTCGCCCCAATGGGATGGGGAGGAACCAGAGCTGAAAATGTGTTGGGTCTTTAATTAATTCTAGGATAGGGATGCTTTATTTTCTCTGCATGTATAAATGGGCCCCTTGTATATTTACGATATTTCAAGAGACTGCAGTAACTGACTGTGCTTCATGATGCCATATTATGTCTCTTGCAGGTATATGATTCCTTTGTGTTTCTGCAGTCTACTTTTTCTTAAACATATCATGATTTTATTAGGATGGGGGGCTGCTTGTTCTAAACAGTGCTATCTTACTGATACAAATAATTTATTTTCAGAATTATTCATCTGTAAAACTTCATTACCTCTACAGAATTCTTCATCCATGTTAACATCTTCCCAATCTATATATGCTCCATTCAAACTATTAAAGAATAATTAATTTGATTTTGAAGAATTAGCAATAACAAAAAGCACTCTTCATTCTTTTGTTTTTACATTGTAGAGAAATATACAATTCAGGCATTAAAGATTTTTTCCCTGAGGTAAAATAAGGCATGAAATAAAAATTGATTGCATTTATTTAAACTTGCATATTGCTAAATTCCCAACGTCAATCGTTTTCTGAGTGCACCGAAATTATAAGCTAACAAGTGGGGACCCACAGGAAACTTGTGGGGAGGGGGCATCCCACACCCTCTGCCTTTGCTTTCTCCCCTCCCCCCCACACCAATCCTTGCTGCCCCCCCCGTCTTCCTCTGCCTGATGGTCTGCCCGCTTGCCTCCCGCCCCCCATAACAATGGGTCTACCATTCACCATGCTTCAAAGATTAAAACGAATTAGGCCTGGCGTATGCTTTCTGAACGGACTACCGTGGGTTTAAGCTCACTACATGGGCTGCCAAATGGCTTCTGTCCTCAGTGCATGGGGCCGCTATTTGCCTTTAAAGGCTTGCACAAACTGATGCCCTTGTACCTCATACATGCCTGGAAGGCCACTCTAAGAATCAGACCCAAGGATTATGAGTAGGTCCTTCACCCAGGTCAGAGAGTCAGGGGGTCCACAGCAGCAACATCCAGAGGTGGTGGTGATCCTGGGAGCCACACTGACGATGCTGGGAGCTGCAGTGGGCCTGGTGGGGGCCCGGGGGCAGTGAGGCTGAGGACCATGTTGGGTCTAGAGGGCTGAGGCAGCCATGACAGGAGCAGGGCCCAAGGGGCAGCGTCAGTCAGCTGCGCTAGGTCCAGGGGTGCCAGTGGCAGTGATGTTGGGGGCCAGAGGCAAGATGGAGAGTTGTGCCAGGCCTGTGGGCCACAGAAGTGAGAGCAGGAGCTTCCCTGGCCACAGCAGCAACACTGGGAGTTGCACTGGGTTTGGGAGCTGTGGCAGCAATGGTGAGGAGGGGCAGACTTGACTCCAGAACAAAAACAACTGCTCCTGTCCTGGTTGGGTGACATGACAGTTGCACACCCCACAGTAATGGGGACATGTCTCCCTTCCTGGCGCTCTGCCCTCCCATCCTCCCCAACTCACTTGGCAGCCCGCCCGCCCAGCTGAAGTACTGCTGCCGCCTTCCTACAGCACCTCCCTCTCACACATCCACCAGAGAAACACTGACTGCACATACACAAAACAACGCTCCTCTATCTGGGGGAATTTTTGCCTCCTGCAGATTTTCCTGCAAACCTGGGGGTCCCCTAAGTCTGTTGAAAAAACTTACTTCTATGTAAATGGCCCTGATCTGCAGATTTAAGTATCCACAGACGGGGGATACTTGACTATTAGATCTATAAAGAAAAGCTACCACATTGCTGAAGGGAAATCAGTTCTGTCAATTCTGGGTTTTCTCCACAAGTGATGTTATCAAACCTGTGATTCCGCCTTTTTATTTCCCCCCCTGCTGCTGCTCAAAGCAACGAGACCTTAGGATGGGGGATCCCCCATCCTGACCAGGAGGGTGGCACCCCTACCTGAACCATATCCTCCAAATAACAGCAGATTACTCCTAATTCAATATCCCTAGCAGATCCAAGATTGTAGTGAAAATCAGTCAAAATGTCAGTATCGTTGGAAAAGAAGGATCAGATGCTGTCTCTTAGCCCCAGACTCCAGAGGTTACAAGAGAGTCAGACGGATAGACAGGCAAACTGTGAGCATCCTTCCCGTTTCCTCTTCTGCCTCTGTCACTTTGGTGTGTAGACGGATGCTCTCAAGTAATTGCTTCTTTCCTTCTGCTCTCTCTCACACACACAAAAGAAGGAGCATGTTTCTTCCTCTTTAGCACCATGGGTGCAGGGATGCCTTCTGCATCTCCACCCATCCTAGGCAGTTAGAATAGGTATTTATCCCTATCTGTCACCTATCCCTATCCAGAATGTAGTTCCTTAAATAAAGATTTTCTTATTAGTTTAAAACGGACAAGTAAGCACCGTGCAACTTTGTATGAGAACACACACATACAGAACAAAGAAGCTACTGCTGCATCTAGCCTTTTTGTGCACTCTGCTAAACTGATACAGGCTTTACCATACCAGTGAAACCTAACATGAATCAACAGGGTTTTTCATCAAGGTATTTCTGATTCAAAGATATCTATGATTATAGAATTATAAGTGCCATTAATAACAACAACAACAACAACAACAACAACAACAATAATAATAAT